GCCTCCCCCCAGCAGCACTTCGGAAGCAACGACAATTTCGTAGATCGCATCTTCCCCCCAGGAATTGCGAGGTCTAATCTGACTCTGGGTGTGACCCTACTGCGCTGCCCACCCCAGCAGCCTTTGAAAGCGGCGACGGTTTCGCAGATCGCAACCCCCCAGGGATGGCGAGGTCTAGTCTGAGTTTGGATCTGACCCTATTGTTCTGCCCTCCCCCAGCAACCCTCGAAAGTGGCGACCAGTGTCGCATGTCGCAGCCTCTCCAGGGATGGCGAGTTCTAATCTGGGTCTGGGTATGGCGTCATTGTGCTTCCCCCCCCAACCCAGCAGCAGTCGAAAGTGGCGACAGTTTCGCAGATCGCAGCCCCGCCAGGGATGACGAGGTCCAGTCTGAGTCCGCGTATGTTTTCACTGTGCCGCCCACCCCAGCAACCTTCGAAAGTGGCGACCGTTTCGCTAACTGCAGCCCCGGCCCCCCCCAGGGATGGCGAGGTCTAGTCAGAGTCCCCGTCTGACGTCGCTGTGCTGACCCCCCCCCCAGCAGCCCTCGAAAGCGGCGACAGTCTCGCAGATGGCAGGTTCCCAGGGACGCCGAATTCTAATTTGAGTCTGGGCATGGAAGCGCTGTGCTGCCCACCCCCAGTGCGGCCCTCGGGGGCGGCGACCGTTTCGCAGATCGCCGCCCCCCAGGGATGGCGAGGTCCAAAGTGAGCCTTGGTATGGCGACACTGTGATGGCACCCCGCAGCAGCCCTCGAAAGTGGCGTCAGCTTCGCAGATTGCACCCACTCCCCAGGGATGGCGAGTTCTAATCCGAGGCTGTGTATGGCGGCACTGTGCTCCCCCCAGCAAACTTTGAACGTGGCGACCGATTAGCAGATCGCCTCTCCCCAGGGATGGCGAGATCCAACCTGGGTCTGGGTATGGCGGCACTGCGCTGGCCCCCTGCAGCAGCCTTCGAAAGTGGCGTCAGCTTCGCAGATTGCACCCCCCTCCGAGGGCTGGCGATGTCTAATATGAGTCTGGGTATGGGAAAGAGCGTGTTCTACCGCTGCTGGCGGAAAACCGGGGGGGTCACTACCGGTTCGGTCACTACCGGTTCGAACCCATCCCCCCCCCCCAGTTCATCATGAAAAGGGGGGGTGGTCACTACCGGTTCGAACCCCCCGCCCCCCCCCCCTCGAAAACCGGGGGGGGGTCACTACCGGTTCGAACCCCCCCCTTCTCCCCCCTCGAAAACCGAGTGGGGGTGCGGACAGTGGTGGGGACGGTGTTGGTGGGGACAGTGGTGAGGGGACAGCGGGACAGTGGTCGGGCAGTGGTTTGGGCCGTGGAGACAGTGGGGAGAGTGGAACCGTGGTGGGAACAGTGGTGGGGACAGTGGGGACAGTGCGACAGTGGTGGGGGCACTGGTGGGGACAGTAGGGACGGTGGTGGAACCAGTGGGGACAGTGGTGGTGAGGACAGTGGTGCTGGGAACAACAGTGGGGGATGTGATGCGGACGGTGGTAGGGACCGGGAGTCGTTTGCTGGCGGTGCGTGGGGGGGGGGTCGAACCGGTAGTGACCCCCTCCGGTTTTCGAGGGGGGGGGGGGGTTCGAACCGGTAGTGACCCCCCCCGGTTCTCCGGATCCGGAGGGGGGGGGGGGAGGGGTTCGAACCGGTAGTGGCCCCCCCCGGTTTTCGAGGGGGAGGGGGGGGGGGGGGAGTTAGGGGAGGGGGGGGGGTCGGAGGGGGGGGGGGGGGGGGGGGGGGGGGGGGGGGCGACCCCCGGGCTCCGGAGGAAAAGGTTGGCAATTTTCCACATTAAAGCAGCGGTGGATCACGCTCTCTCGGGTATGGCGACACTATGCTGGCCCGCCAGGCAACCTTCTAATGTGGCGACAGTTTCGCAGATAGCATCCCCCAAGCCGTGGCGAGGTCTAATCTGAGTCTGGCATGGCGGTACTGCGCTGCTGCCCCCCAGCAGCCCTCGAGTGTTGCGGCAGCTTAGCAGATCGCCCCCCCCTCCCCCCCCCTTGGATGGCCAGGTCTAATCTGCGTCTGGGTATGTCAGCACTGTGTTCGCCTTCGAAAGTTGCGACAGCTTCGCAGGTCGCGGGCCCCCAGGGATGGCGAGGTCCAACCTGGGTGATGGTACGGCGAGGATGTGCTGGCACCCCGCAGCAGCCTTCGAAAGTGGCGACAGCTTCGCAGACTGCAGCCCCCCGATGGCTGGCAATGTCTACGCTGAGTCAGGGTTTGGCGACACGGTGCTGGCCCCCCAGCAGCCTTCGAGAGTGGCGGCAGTTTCGCATATCGCATCCCCCCAGGCATGGCGAGGTCCAACATGAGTCTGGTTATGACGACACTGTGCTGCCCCCCAAGGATTGCGAGTTCTAATATGAGTCTGGGTATGGCGGCACTGTGCTGCCCCCCCAGCAACCCTCGCAGATGGCGACAATTTCGCAGATCGCAGCCCCCCAGGGACGCCGAAATCTAATCTGAATCTGGGTATGGCGGTACTGTGCTGGCCCCTCCAGCAGCCTTCGAAAGTGGCGACGGTTTCGCAGAGCGCGGGCCCCCACGGAGGGCGACGTCTAATTTGAGTCTGGGAATGGCGACGCTGTGCTGCCCCCCCGCAGCAGCCCTCGAGTGTGGCGGGAGTTTCGCAGATCGCAGCCCCCCAGGGACGGCGAGATCTAACCTGAGTTCGGGTGTGGCGACACCTTGTTGCCCCCCCCCTGCAGCCCTCGAAAGTGTCGACGGTCTCGCAGATCGCAGCTCCCCCCCAGGGATTGCGAGGTCTAATCTGAGTCTGGGTATGGCGGCGCTAGGCTCCCCCCCCTAGAGCAGCCTTCGAACTTGGCGGCAGGTTCGCAGATCGCAGCCCCCTATGGATGACGAGGCCGAAAGCAAGTGCGAGAGAGGTAGGAGACAAGAGGAGAGGGAAAGAGAGAGAGGGCGAGAGAGAGAGAGAGAGAGAGAGCGAGAGAGAGGCAGAGAGAGAGAGAGAGATCGAAAGAAGGAGGGAGGGGAGAAGGGGACGCTTCCTTCTGTGATGTGCTCTACGAAGTGCGGGACTCTCGCCACTTATTCCTGGTGGGTCCAGCGGGTTTGTGTCCTACGCGGGCCCAAACGAGACCTCGACGTGCCCGGGGGTTGCAGACTGTGCAGGTCTCGCCGATGTCGTGGGCTCTGGGGAGGTCGTGCAAGTCTCGCCACTGTCGTGGGCTCCAGGGAGGTCCAACGGGATGGTACCCGAATCGGTCCCAATCGAGACTTAGCCTTGCCTGTAGGCTGTGAGCTGCGCAATTGCCCCCCCTTTCGTGGACTCCTGGATGGTCAGGCGGGGTGGCTTGCCAGACGGACCCGAACGAGACATGGCTCTCCCTTGGGTTTGCGATCTGTCAAACTGCTCCAGCGTTCGTGGGTTCCTGGAAGGTCCAGTGGAGTGGTGTCCTACGTCGGCTCAAAGGGGACTTCGCCCAACTGCGGCACTTTCGTGGTGTGTTGTCCTGCGTGGATCCAAATGAGACGTCGCCCTACTCCGTGGATTGTGGACTGGGCAACAGTCAGCACTGTCGTTGTTTCTTCAGAGGTTCACCTCGCCCTTTCGGGGGGCTGCGAACTTTGCAATTGCCGCCACTTTCGTGGGCTCCTGGGAGGTCCAGCTGAGTGACGTCGTACAAGGACCCAATCGAGACCTCACCCATCCTGGGCATTGCTAACCTCGTCATCTTCGGGGTCTCCTGGGAGGTCCAGCGAAGTGGCATCCAGTCACTTCCTCCTTTACTCCTCCCCTCCTGTCGTCCTCGAATCTTCTTCCACGCCCATGTCTTTCTCCCTCCCTTCTCCCACGTGTTCCTACATCCTTAGGCTTCATTGCAGCTCGTGGTCATCGGTGGCTTTCCGCCACGTCTTCTCCATGATATACCTGAAGGCGTTACCTGAGTCGAACCGCGCGCTTGCCATGCCATCATCAGCAAACGCGGGCGCACTGCCATCACCATGTGTTGCAGATGGGTTGGGTAAGCTACCAGGATCTGTGCTGGTTTGATCCCAGACATCCTGTATCTTGGTTCCTCGTTTTAGATTCGCAGCGCCGCGCCCTACCTCCTCCTTCTCCTCCCCATCCTCTCCTCTTCCTCCTCATCCTTCTCGCGTTACGCGTTCCATTTGCACTGTAGCCCCATCGAAGGCTCCAGTGGTAGGCCCGCATGCGTATTCAGTTACATTTTGGCACACCCCTCACACGCTTCGTGGCCCCATAGGGAGCTCCACCGAAGGCCTCAGTGACAGGGCCCGCATGCGCACTCGGGTCCATCTTGGCACACCCCTCGCACGTTCGGTGGCCTCATATGGAGCTCCACCGAAGGCCCCAATGGCAGGGCCCGCATGGTGACTCCGGTCCCTTTCGGCAAATCTCCCACACGTTTCGTGGGCCCACAGGGATCTCCACCGAAGGCCTCAGTGAGTGCGTGCCATGCTTGCCGAGCCTGGTCCGATGTTCTCTGGCAAAGTTTTCAGGGGTACTGCGGAACCTCCTCACGAGTTCATGTGCATTGAGCGGTCCTGCTGGTAGTTACTACGCGTGTGCAATGGGTTCAGTTTTTTTCCGACGAAGGTAGTTTAGGTGAGGTTCCTGACGACATCAAGGTGTGGACTAAGGAGCTTCGCTTGCGTGATGTTGACTATTCCGCCGCCCCAGCATATACGAACCGTGTTTTAAGTTCGCTCACGGGTGCGAAGCACGCCGTGCCTTCGCCAAGTTCAAGGTTGTACGACTGGGATCTTCGCATCCCTGGGGTGTCGACGCGGCTCGGCGGCGCCTTCGTCCAATAGTTGGAGAACGTGAGCATGCGCAACTTAGTGGCTACGGCACCCTCAACTGCAGAACCCTTCCGTAAGACTAGATTCTCTGCTGCATCTCTTGCGACAGTTTGTCTCTCCACCCTCTCGCCCCCCTCTCCTCTCCAGCTGAATGCTGGAACAGAAAGCCAACGGCTTCCCTCCGCTCAGGAGAGCCCCACTGCGCGGGGCTCGGCGAAGGCCGGAGCAGACAAGAAGTCCTGGCGGCAGGAGGTCGAGGATGAGGAGGACCGCCACGTGCCTTCGACTTGTCCCTGCTCTCGCGCTCGCCTTCGTCCAACGGAGGGTGGAAGGGGAAGGAGGGCACAGGAACTGCACAACCATACACTTTTAGAGCTCCGAGCTGGTTTCTTGGATGGGCGCTGCGCCCCCCCTGGCGGCGCCTCTGGCGCCGCGCCTAGTCCAGGGCGGGGGATCCAGCGCCCATCCAAGAAATCTGGCGAAGCTTCGGAGACTTGATGCTTATGCTGTTTTGTTCCCCTAGGAAGGTCGGCTACACGTCGCCGCGGCTGTGCTTGGCAAGCGGGCGCATGTCAGGAAGGCCCCCCGGCGTCAGGAAGACGCAGGCCCAGCAGGGGCGTTGGCAGTGGTGCTTCAATGGTGCCGCAGGCTTGTGGCTCAAGCCCGGGCTTGGCTCAAGTGGCTCAAGCCCCCGACCACAAGCCCTGCCAAGGGTGGGGTGCCGTCCTTCTCCTTCATGTCTCACGCTTTTCCACTTTCTTCTCGTATCCCATCCCATGGCGGGGCACTGCCGAGTCTGCCTCGCCCGCGGCGTCGCTGGCCCCGCCCTGCCAGGCGCGGATTTCTGCGCGGCGCACCGGGGGCTCCCGATGGCTGCTGCCGCGCCGGCGATCGAGGACACGGACGACGGCTCCGGCGCCATGCAGGCCATGGCGACTTTGCACGTCCAGCCGCCCGGCGTGGGACCCGCGGCTGCTGCCCCCGCGCCGCCCCCAGGCCTCCTGCAGGAGCCCACCGCCGAGCCCATGCTCGCGGAGCTGATCGAGCACGAGATTTTATCCAAGTTCGAGATCGTGCAGGCGGCACGCAGGGTCGACGGGCAGACGGTCGTGCCCCGCTCTCTGGATTTGTGTTCGGAGTTCACGCTGGCCTTGAAGTCGCTCGCGCACAACCCTGCGGCAGCCGACGCGTAGAGTCTACGGCCTCTCGCCGCTGGAGGGCCCGGGCCTCTCCCTGAACACCATCGGGGCCCGCCTCCGCTACGCCAAGCTCCTCGCTTCTATGATCGACACCGCGCCATGGCCACCGGCCGACAGTGCATGGGCGCATGAGGACATCGCGAAGATCACCCAGGCTGCCATGACCTGCTTCTCCTCCTTCATCAGCTGGCTCTGGGAGCGCAGGCGGGCCCGCCCTTCAAAGCTCCCCCTGTGGCACGAGCTCGGCCACAGCTCTTTCCTCGCGGTCTTCGACACCGCCCCGGACGCCTCCGAGGTCGTCTGCGCCCAGTGGTCCGCCCTCCTGGACACACAGCCGCGCTCCCGACGACCACGCAGTACCAGGGCCGGATCGCGCCCACGAGCGAGGCCCGCATCTTGGCCGACCTGGCAGAAAACGGCGACCTTTCCTCCTTTTGGGACACGGTCAGGGTTAGCGGCAAACCGTTTTCACTCTGGGCTCCCGCTGGCGCTTCGGCGCTCGGTCGCTTCTTGGCTTCGCTCCTGCGCCGCTCAGCGGTCGAGGCGCCGTGCCGGTACATCCGCTTCATCGTCCCTTTGGACCTCCACCCGGGATGCACCACGAGCGAGACGATCTGCGACTTGTGGTGGCACGATTTCTTGAGCGAGAACTGGGCGGCGATGATTCGGAGCGTCGAGTTCCACCCGCAGCCCATGGAGTTCGTCTCTGCAGGAACCCCGGGACCCCGCCACGAATCCCGAGGTCTGGCGATCTTCACGGTATCCTTCACCCTCCCTCGACGACACCACCAGGTACGCGAGCTGGAGTCGCCCATCTTCACATTGGAGGCTGCCCCGACCTACGTCGTGGACTTCCCCTCGATGCTCACGGTGGAGGTCATGCATGCGTTGCTCGATGCCGCTGGCCAGTCGGCGCACATCGGGCGGATTTACCGCGGCCCTGGGCATTCGGAGGAGCATGCTGAAGCACCGGCCTTCGCGACATGGAGGGCGGGCATTCTCGCCCCCGTCGGCGCTGCTCGCGCGGATCGCGGCCACCCGCCGTGCCAGGGCGCCCCGCGGGGCCTCGTCGACGACCCAGGCCATCGCGGACGTCGCGATCACGGGTCGCCTCCACGCCGACGAGCACGCCGTTGCCCCCACCCTCATGGACCACGTGGTGTCCCAGACAGGCCTCCAACTGACTGAGCAGTCAGACGGACCCAGCAGCAAGGTCGGCACGTGGAAGTGGCTTTCGGCCACAGACCCTTCGGCGCCGCCTGGCAGATCTCGCCTGTTCTTGAAGAACCTATTTGAGGTGTTTCGGATCACGGCGGCTCTCCCAGACAAGACCATCAAGACCGGGGTGGACACGTCCCGCCTCCAGGTCCACAGCGACCTGCAGGACCAGCTGCGAGGCGGCAGTGCCGTCCAATGGGTAGCCCCCGCTGGGGCCGTGGCCTGGGCCGTCGACGGCTCAGGATGCATGTTCCTCGTGCTGGACGTCGCACTGCGCCGCATCCTGGACGCCCCGCAGCCCACGAACCAAAGAGGCCACGCCGGCGCCGAGGTGAATTCGATTGCCGCCGCCGCCGCCGACTCTCATCTGCCACCTCTTCTTTTTCTTCCCGCCCATCACGAACATGTTCCCCTTGGGCGCCGCCGCTGCGACGTCCCGCTGTCGCTTCGCCTGCGTGCGCTCCTCCGACGGGCGCTTGGCATTGCACCGCCGACCTACGTTGCGACGCCTCCGACGCGTGCGACCCTAGCCAGAACGTCTCCTTCATGGGCAGCCGGCGCTGGCCACCCCATCCGGGGCGATCTCTCGGTCTGCACTTGGAACGCGCAGGCGCTCTTCGCTGAGCAACCCATCCGGCAAATCAGCAAGTGGAAGAACCTCAAGCGCCTTCTTCACCAGCGCGACGTCGTGATGATCACCGAGTCCCGCGGCGCCGAGGACTCCTTGCTGTTGACTGCGGCCGCGCACGGCTCCCTGGCGCGGTGGGCCCCTGGGGCGGTGCGTCGCGGAGGAGTCGGCGCGGTTGTTAAAGAGTCGTTCTTGGAGCACTTCCCGCGCCGCGACTGGGTCATCGCGCACCCGGGCCGCGCCGTTGTCCTTCGACTGAACGGCCCTCTCGGCGCCGTGGATTCCCGCGCGACCTATTTCAGACGGGCGCCGCCGCCGACGTCGCGGCCCCCTCGGAGGCCCTGGTGGTGCCCCAGCACGAAGCGGAGGTGATCCCACTCCGCCATCAACGCGTCCGTCTTCGAGCTGCAGTCGCCCGGGGCACGCGTCCAGCGCGCGAGGCGCTGTCCATCGTCGCCGGCGTTTTCAATTGGGCCGCCGAGGCCAGGGGCCGCATCTGCAAATCCACGGGGGCTTCCACGGGCCAGCGGGACCAACGGGAAGAGACCCACTGGTCTGGACTCCCCCCTGCCTTCTCCGAGGCGCATCAACCCTGCGTGACGCGCGAGTCCGGCCAAGCGCGGTCCCGGCTTGATAGGGTCTACGTCAACTTGGAAGCCACCGACCTGCTAGACCGCCAGATCATAATCGAGGTGAGTGACTGGGCCTCCGGCGTCTCCATCCACCGCCCGGCGTTCTTCGCGCGCCGTGCGCCCCCTCCCAAACCAGCTGCCTGCAAGCCCATCTCGCTGGAAGCGACCCGTCGCCCTGGCTGGGCACAGGGCGCGGCCCTGCGCCAGACCCTTTGCAAGGAGAGCTCCGCCGCGAAAGCCGCGCAGTGCCTCGCCCTCCTGCGCGCGGCCATCCGCGACGCGGGGACCGCCGTGGACGCCGTGCAGCGCGCGGCCCGCGCGGACTCCCCCGACGACCAGATGGGCTGCACCATGGCGTTCATTCGGGCCGCCGTGCCCCACTCCGCATCCGCGATCTCGGTGGCGATCGAGCGATGCCCGCACCTCTGCTCCTTGGCCCCCAACCCGCGCGACCCCGCGCTGGCCGCCGGCCGCGGCTTTATCCCGGTGCGCGAGCACGCGGTGGAGTTGGCGATCGCGGAGCTCACGCGGTTGCATGAGGGATCGCTCGACACCCCCTTCCGAGGTTCTGCGCCGCTCCCGGAAAAATAATTTGCGCCTCCTGCCCCGCCTCTCGCCGGGAAGGGGCAAGTTCGCGCAGGCCAGCCGGGGCGAGCATGGCACGCTTCACGCGCAGCCCTCTGACATGGCCTCGGATTTCAGACGGATCTGGGAGAAGGTCTCCGCTGCGGGGCCAACGGATCGAGCGCTTCGTCGCCGCTGGTTCGAAGAGGACCTGCCGCCTGATGTTCGCGCATCCTTGCTCCCCGCGGATTCTCCCCAGTGGCAAGCGCGGCGCGACGACATCAAGAAGGCGATCCAGTGCCCGGGGCCATCGTCTCCAGGACCTGACGGGACCCCCTCGGAGGCGCGCCGGCAATTTTGCGAGCTGGGCGCCGACGTCTTTTACGACGCATTGTCCTGCCTGTTGTCTGGCCCCGACGGCGAGGGGCTCCAGCGGCGCCACCTTCCCGACTTCAACTTCTCCCTACTGCACCTCCTGCCCAAGAAAGAGTTGGGCTACGACGAGGTCGCTGGCCATTTCTACGACGCGGACAAGGTGCGCCCGATCAACGTGGCAAGCTTCGACAATCACATCTTGGCTAACGCTGCCCGCTTCCGCATGACAGCATTGGGTCTCCAGGATCCAGCGGGGATTCGTCGGGGGGCGCTCGCTCCTTGCCAGCGTGATTGACGTCGACGCGGAGATGCGTTCTGACATTGTCTCAGGAGGACGGGGCCTGTATCTTTTCCGATTTCTGGGCGGCGCCCCCGTCGACCGACCAGTCCTTCGCGCTGGAGCTGCTGGGCGAGATTGGCGCCCCGCCGAGCCTCGGCAGGTTCATCGCGGCCCTCTGCCGCCAGATCGTCGTCGGGGGTCACAGGTTCGAGGGCTTTGCGCGCTCGGCGGGCGCGCGGCAAGGCTGCCCGCTGTCCCCGCTGCTCTTCGCTATCGCCGCGGACCTCCTGCTTCCACGGCTCCACCGGCTCCTCCCCGCCGCAACCCTGCGCGCGTGCGCCGACGATCTCACCCTCGTCGCGCCCCGCCTGCACCTGGTACCTCCCGCAGCTGGAAGAGCTATTCCGCGAGTGTGAGATGATTTCCCGCCTAGCGCTGAACGCGGGCAAGTCAGTCTTCGCCCCCCTGCGCCCGGTCGACCTGACCGAACTCCGGGACTCGATCGCAGCCTGCGCTCCCTGGTGGGGCGCCATGAAGACTGCGCGCGCCGCGGGGTACCTCGGGTTTTCCCTCGGCCCCCTCAGCGAAGGCCTCTCGCGGGGCAAACACATGGAGAAATTTCTCGAGAGGGCCGCCATGGGGGGGAGGTCGGCTGCGGCATCCAGCTCACGCTGCTCGCGGCTAAGATCCACCTCGTATCTGTGCTCGGCTTCGCGGCGCAGCTTCTCCCCGCCCCGGCGGACTGGGCCACGGCGCGAGGCGGTGGCCCGCTTGTTCCTGGGCCCGCGGGGGTGGATCTCCCCGCCCATTATGCGGGATCCGCGTTCGATGGGTTTTTTTCCGGCGGCATTCCCGAGCTTGCGAAGCTCTCGATGGCGGCCCGCTTCCGCGCGGCCCGGCGCGAAGCCGCGAGCGAGGGCGGCCTGCAGACGACGCGCCGGGCCCGGGAGCATCGAAGGGCCAGCGCAGATTGCGATTTCGAGCTCCGCCGGGCGGGCGGGGGCGGCTGGCTCAAGAGCGCCGCCATCCTGCACTTGGACGCCGCCACCTCGCACTTCGAGGAGTTGGGCTGGACTGCGCGCCGGGCGCGGGGTCGCGTAGATCGAGGCGGCCGCCGACGCGGAGCTCGACGACGACGCCCGCGCCAAGAAGCGCCGCAAGTTGTGGCAACGGACGTGCCTCTCCATCGTGCAGGAGGCGTCGGTGGAGGAGGCGGAGCGCTTTTGGCGGCGCCGGATGCAGCGTTGGCGCCTAGATTTTGCCGCCGGCCAGGCGCGCCCCGCGTGCGCTGGAGGTCATGGGCGCCCTCTGGGCGGCTGCCCCGCCGCGGGTCAGAGCCGCTCTCTTACGTGCGTGGTTTAATGGATGGTGGCCAGCGCTTCCAGCGGCGCGGCTCTCGCTGTCTTTTTGGGTGTGCCTGCTAGGATTCCATTGAACGCTATGCAGGTTGCCGGGCGGTCCGGGAGTTCGCATGGCGGAGCCTCGCGATCCCGTGTTCCACGGCGCCCCTTTCGGATTTCCTTATTTTCTCTTCCCCCGCAACGAGCCTGCCCGCGGACTTCGTCCTGCGTTCGGCCATTCGCACCGCGGCGGTGCACTTGGCGCACTGCCGGGCGAGACGCGCCGCAGTGCCCGGCACGCCCGCCGCAGCGACGCTCGGGCAGATCGCTTTGGAGCTGGTCTGCGGCCACCCCGCCACGTCTGCCGTTGCGCGTGCGCACGCGGGCGCGCGCGCAGCAGCCGCGCCGCCATCGGCCGCTTGAGCTAAGTCTGCGGGTATCCGCCCCCGTTCTCCTCCCTCTCCGCCCCCCCTCCCCCCCCTCCGCTTCAACCGCGGCGCGATGGGCTCTTGGCCTGGCGGAGAAAAAAAGGCCAGACTTTGTTGCAGATGTTCTGTGCGATACCGAATGTTGTCGTTCGCGCTTGCTTATCGTGTCTCTTTTCCCGGCCGCGTGGCCGATGGACTGACAATCTCCTGAACGGAGGATGCAGCAAGAACAGCCCGCTGTTAGTGTGGCTCTGTACGTATGTCGCCAGTTTATCTCGTCGTCCTCCCTCCCTCCCTCCTTGCCGCTGCCGCCGCCGCTGCTTCTCCATCTTGTGATAGCGTGATGGTGTATGTGATTCGCTTCGACTGGAGCTGCGCTCGCGGGTGATTTCCGAGTGTTGGGGCATGACCAGTCTACGTTTCAGACTTGTGGATGGACCGTTGCAGCCATCAAGCTTTGCACACAACACTTGTTCGATCTTACAGATATGTTTAAGTGGGAATTCGTATCAGTAGGCTCGTGCTGGCCAACGCCTTCGACAGACAGCTGGCCAATTTCGAACGACCCGGCCTATCTTCGATTCGAGGCTGGTCCCTGAGGTGGCGCGTTTCTCTTCCTCGTCCTCGCCCTCCCCTTCCTTCTCTCCCCCTCCTCGGGCCAGACAGCGTCTGCCAGGCACGATGTGTGCTTGCGACGGCGAGGCGTCATGACAGAGTGTTGCGGGCGCGTGGCAGGGGGAATGCGTCGCACACGTAAAAAACAGTGTTTCGGACCCGAACCGGTGTGCTCAATTTTGGGGCCGTTTCGCACGGAATTTGAACATGGCATTTGTGCGCGTTTGTATTGTTTTTTGCAGCGCTTCTGTCGCGCCAAAGCTGTTACACCGCCGAACGCTGTCATGAGCGCGTGGTCGTTGCGGTACAAAAACAATGGTGCCGCAGGCTTGTGCCCCTTGGACACCCGCGGCTTGTCCCAGAGGGTATTGTGCTTGTCACCAGAGGCGGCAGTGATTGGAGCCAGCTGAGGGGCTGATGTGGCAGGGTGCTGGTCAGCAAGGGGCGCCCCCCGTCGCCACGGCTGGACGCGGCTCGAAAAACTTGTCCGTTTCGACTTTAGGAGGGGATCGGGGATCGATTTTGATTGGATTGCGAAGGCCTTACGGCCAGTGCCGCCGACCCTGCATGGCGGCGACAACCACGACCACAACGACGAAGCTCTCGGGGGCCTCTCCTGGGGGTAGTTTAAGGTCCTTTTGGGAAGCTCTTAGGGGCCGCTTGGGAACCTCGTGGGGGCCTCTTGGGGTTTCCTGGGGTTTTTTGGGGGGCCTCTTGGGGCTTCTCGGGGGGCTTCTTAGGGGCCTCTGGGGGGCTCCCGAGAGCTTCTCAAGCCGAGGGCCCGAAATGTCCGCTCGGGTCGCCCGTCTGGGCTCCCTCTAACAACCGTCTTGGGAGCCTCTTCGATTGTCTTGGAGGCCTCGACGGTCTTGGGGCACTCTTGTGTTCGGGGCTCTCTTGGACCCCTCTTGGCCCATCTTGGAGCAGTCTTGGGGGCCTCCTTGGCCTGTCTTGGAGCGTCGGGAAGCACATCTTTTAACAACAGTGGGGGGGCACCGATGATTTTTGTTCCTTGGTGCCCTCTTTGAAGTCCTCTTGGGGGCCTCTTGGGACACGTTGGACATTTGTTGAGCCGTCTGGAGGCTAGTTTGGCGACTTGGACCGATACTTCGGCGATTCGGGGCCCTCGAGGATTTTTTTTGCGACATATTGGAGCATTCTTGCGGCGTCATGAGGCTTTTCTGGGCCCCCGAACCGCCCAGGAGGGAGTCGTATCTGACCCGGGACTTCTCTGGGACTTCCCGGGACTTTCCCGGCCCCCCCCCCCCGGCGGGGAAGGGATCAAAAAGAAGGGGCTTCCCTTCGACTCCACTACAACGTTGCTCAATTTCGCTGTGGTTGGCGCGCTCGACGACGACAACGACCACGTCGACGACGACGAGTCAAACGGAACAGCCTCTTCCACACGCCGACAGGGTCGGCGGATTTCATGTCGTCCAGCCTTGATTTTTACTGATTTTCTTAAGTCTCATCTAGCGCACACTCCCGGGCCGCTTCCCAGGCGGAGGTGGCCACCCCTGACGTGCTGAGAGCGCGTGCCTGCCGCAGGGGGAATGCTGCCCAATCGCCGCCGTCGTCGTCGTCGTCGTCGTCGTCGTCGTCGTCGTCGTCGTCGTCGTCGTCGTCGTCCGCCGTCGCCGTCGCCGTCGCCGTCGCCGTCGCCGTCGCCGTCGTCGTCGTCGTCGGCGGCGGCGGCGGCGTCGGCGTCGGCGTCGGCGTCGGCATCGTCATCGGCGTCGGCGTTGGCGTTGGCGGCGTCGGCCTCGCCGGCGGCGTTGTTCGTCGCCGTCGTCGCCGCCGTCAGCGTCGTCGTCGCCGTCGCCGTCGCCATCGCCATCGCCATCGCAAGGTAGGCTCCCATCCTGCCTCATTGTCCTCCGCGCCTCCTCCTCCTCCTCCTCCGCCTGTCTCCTCCATCTCCTCCTCCTCCTCCTCCTCCTCCTCCTCCTTCTCCTTTCCTTCACACCGCAATCCGATGCGATGGTCTTCCTTCCCCTCCCCTCCCTTGCTCCTCCCCACCTCTTCATTTTCCCCACTTGCCCTTCCTGATGGAGGCCCTGAGGCAGCATACTCAACCTCACTCCCTCCTGACCAGACCCCTTCCCCTTTCCTCCTTTTTCCCTTTCCTCCTCCCCCTTACCAGACCTCATTGGCCACTGCCGACATGAAGATAGAGAAGAGATTGTGCCATGATGACTGTGCGAGAGAGGGCCAGGACACGCCAAGCTGGACTAAATACTCAATAGCAGTGTCAGAGTTCGATGGTATCGTAAAGACATACGTGCCAGAAGCGGGGCCTCCCCTGCGCCCAAGGACGACCAGAGGGACCTCTCCACAGACGAGGAGGCACGCGACAAGAAGCTGGAAGAGGCCCGTAAGCGCCGGGAGGCGATCATGAAGGCGAAGATGGCGGACAGGAAGAGCGAAGACCCTGGTCCTGGCGGGGGCGACTGGTGGGCCCTCCACGTCGTCGCCGCCCCGTCCGACGCCGCTGGCGCCGTCGCCGCCGCCGCCGTCGCCGCCGTCGTCGTCGCCGTCTTTGTCGTCGCCGTGCTCGCCGTCGTCGTGGCCGTCGCCGCCGTCGTTGCCGCCGTCGCCTCCACACTGCGCGCCCGAGCGGGAGAGTATGATCTTGCGTCGGGGAGGCTCTGGCGACTGGCGCTGCGCGCTTTCGCTCGTCGGGGGGCTCCTGGGGCGGCCTCCGAGTATTTCCCTGAGGCTCTCGAGCCGTGTCAAATGGCTGCTCGCTGGCAGACCGCAGATGAGCAACAAGTCGTGATAGAGTTCCCCGATTCCGAGGATTCTGTGTTGCTCCGCATGGGCTCCAGAAGAGAGCCTGGAATTTCTGGACTGGAGCGGATCCTGAGCCGGTCGTATCATGACATTGTTCTCGGCCTGAGAACGTAACTCCAGAAATCTCGCGAACGGGAGTCGCCGCCGTCTCTCCGTGGTTCCCCCCCCCTCCAGTGACCGCCAGCGACCCCTGAGCTCTCGAAGTGCTGGCTCGTGGTCGCAATCTCCGCTCGCGGTCGCCCCAAGCATCACCTCTCGCGGCTCCGCCAGCGGGCGGAGGACACACGTAGGTGTCCGGAGGCATCCACGGCCTCGGAGGGCCCAGGCTCCTCGTCGGCGGCCCTGCGAGTGCGGCGCGGCTCTGCGAGGATGCCTCGCGCAGAACGTGCCCACGGGATCGCGCATCCGTGGGGGCGCGCCTCGGCATCTGGGCAGCGATGGCGCGGCTCGGTGGGCGTGCTCATCGCTCGCGGCACCGCTGCACTTGCGAGGCGCCCTCCGCACCGATCGCGCTCGAGGGGGAAGAGAGGGGTTGGGCGGGGCCTCGACGGCGGCTTCGACGGCGGCCTCGACGGCGGCCTCAACGGCAAGAGGCTACCGACGGGGCTCCGAGGCCGTCCCCCCAGGAGCCTCAGAGCGCCCTGCAGGGCGCCACCAGATGGCACCCTCGCTGCTCCGCGAGGCCCAGAGCTCGCTCTCGAGGGGTGCAGTCACAGGGGATCATAAGGACATGTCGCTCTCCGAGGGTTCCCTTGCGCCCTAGCCTCGTCGGCCCGTCCTTGGCCGTTTTCGCTGGCCGACCTCTGAGGGCACCCTTGGGGCCGGCGGCGTCCTTGGCTGCGTGGCGCGACGCTCCAGTGGGGGAGAGTCCTAAGGTCGTCCTTTGGTGCGCCGTCCCCGTCCTCGGAGATGAGCCCGGGCCCAGCGCGTTCCAGAGCACGTCCGCCAGACAAGGAGCGCGAAATGTTGGGACCCAAGCCTCCGACGACTCGGTGTCCTCGAGCAGCCTGCCGTGGAGCTCCCGAACTCTTCCCCAGGACTGTTTTTCATCCCAGGTCTGGACACATGCGTGAGGGTATCGAGGATTGCAGGACAGTGGCCCTTCAGGGGCCTCAAACGGCCCCTAAACTGCCACCGCAGGCTCAAAGGGTGCACGAAAGGCCCACGTTTCTTTACCCCACACGTATTGTTCTTCCGGTTGCGAACGCTCGAGGTTCGTTCGTTGATGATCCTTGGATTTGGAAGCGGGCTCCGGACGCCAGAAGCTGGGGGACATCTGGCGCGCGATTTTGTCGAGTCGGCTGGATATTTGCGTCGAGGGCCTCAGACCGCTCCCCCCTCCAGGGCTGCGCTCTGACCAGAACTTCTTGGCGGATACAGCTGTGGCGGCGAGGAACCTGGGAGGCCCGAAAGAGGGCCGAAAACAGGGCAGCCTCGGCCCTCGAGCCCCCCAGAGGATCAAGATCCTTCAACAGAATGGACATCCGACCTCCACTCTGCAGGCTTTCATCCTCCACTCTGGAGGTTCTGTTGTCCTGCAAACCGCAGGTCCGACCACCGAATGCTTCCCGAACAACAGTGAATGGGACAAATATCCCACTTGCGCTGTAAGGGCCGAGTGCCGTGCCGTGCCGTACCCGCGTGCCGTGCTGTGCGCCCGCGTGCCGTGCCGTAGTGTCTTCATATTATGGAATGCAAGAATGTTGCCGTACCAGCGTGCCGTGCAGTGCCCGCGTGCCGTGCCGTACGGTGCTCGGTGTCTCGAAGGCCAAAATGTTGCCGCCCGCGTGCCGTGCCGTGCCGTGTCCGCGTGCCGAGTCGCGCCGTTGCGGTGCACGCGACCATTTCGACGCTGCCTCACAGTGTGTCTTCTCGTGCAGCGTCGTTGCTTAGGGCCTCCATGCTGGGTCAATCGAGTTGTTTGATATTTGGGTCGAGACCCTGACATCTTCCGATCTGTTTTTGTTCACTCCGCGGCGAGCATCTGCCCCTTCCCCGGGGATCGTTTTGCATCCCCGATATGGGCCCGAAGCGGGCCCCAGCGGCCGAAATCAAGGAAGCGCGACCGGATTGAAACAGCACGTCGTCGGAGATTTGGGAAGAGGGCGCCCCCCTCGGCGCACCTCAGATGGCCCCAATCATTCGGACGGAGGGGAAGGAGGGTCACTCGGCGGCGAGCCCAGAGGGGGAGTGAAAGGGGACATGCCTTCTCAGAAGGCGGCAGGGCTTCGCAGAAGCTCTCCAGCCTTCCGAGAAGCCGTCTCTGTCTTCGGAGAAGGCTCACAGGGCTTCTCAGAAGCCCCGTCGCTTTTGAGAAGGCTTGCCCCCTCCCACTTATTCCCCTGGGCTCGCCGCCGAGTCACGTCAGGCTTGGCGCGGCGTGGCCCGCCCCCCCCCCCTCCTCGAGGCGACGTGCGCGAAGAGGGCGAGGGCCCCAAGAAGGGCGGCGCGGCCACGCCCGAGAAGGCCGCTGCCAGCCCAGGTGCCGCAGAACCCCGAAGACGGAGGAAGAAACTCTTGCACACCTTGGCACCCTCGCGTCGTCGTGGAAAAAAGGCACGGAGAGGTTTTTGGTCACTTTGGGCCTTCTGGCACCCTCACCCGACCCCAGGGGCCATCCAAAAAGTGGCCCGGAATCAGGTCCCTGAGCATAGATCACCCAGGCGGTAGTTGCGGACAGAGTCCCGCCTTTCGGCTTTGGCTCCGACCGACTCGGCCTGGCGCAAGAGTGGCTCTTCGCTGGAACGATCTTTGATGCGGTCCCACTGTACCCTTGGCTCTTGGCAAAGTCTTCCGCGCTTGGGCTTGCCCACCCCCACAAACCCCTGAAACCACGCACCGAAGGTCACTCTTGCCTAGGGTCACTCTTCCGAGTGCAGTCGGCACGTCAAGTATGACATCGTCCTGCCAGCAGGTGCACCATGAAAATTTCCCGATCGCCCCAGGAATCTACAGAAGCGCCAGTTCACCTTAGGACCCTGAAGATTCGAGGAAGAATGTACCCCAAGACTCCTTACATCAAGATGTTTTGTCGAATGTTTCCACTGTAGCCGACCGACCACGGCCCAGGCGAGGGGGCGACGAGCGGCAAGCAGGAGATCGTCAGGCAGGAGGGGATGGGGGACATGTTCGACGAGCGCGCGGAGGCCGCCGACGAACTGAAGAAAGCCATGCGGCAGTCGGCGGCCATTGGCCTTACGGGGGCCTCGGGCGACGACTGGGACGACGAGGAGGGGTGCCCGCCGAGCAGACCTTCGACGTCGCGTTTTTTTTTTTTTTTGCTTCCAGTCCCTTCGCTTTTCCTCACTCTCGGCCTCTGGGGCCCGCTCTCGTCGGGCGGGCCGAGGACCAGGACACACCGCCCCAGATCAGTCCGGAATGCTCGCAGAGCCCTCGGAGTGCTCTGGAACGGTCGCGTCACCCCACACATCCTCTAGAGCCGCCGGATCTCAGAGATCCCCGACTCGTCCCAGTCCGAGTTTAACCCGGTCTGTTTCGTCTTATCTCGGGCACCCGTGGCCATCAGGGAAAGGGGTCGGAGCGGAAAGCCTGCTCAGAGGGAATGGGCTCGAGAGTCCTGGGGCCCGCTGCTCGAAAGTCGTCACGACATTGGAGGTATGGGCGCGAACGCAGATGCCCGTGCGAAGGCAACTGCGTTGGCTTTGGCATTGGCTTCTCAGAGGCACCGTCTGTCGAACAGTTCCTCGTGGAGGTTCATCAGAGGAGGAGTTGTTTACAATACAGACCAGTTTCGAAACAGCAAGGAAATACGTTCTTCACCCTCTGCAGCCCAGCACAGCCGAATCCATAATTCAACTGGTGGGTCATATGTGGGGTCCGGCTTTCTGGCGATACTGAACCGAGACTGAAATGAGTTGGCGAATTGCCTTGCGAGGCTCGCCACTTCGGGATCTTCGGTGGCGATGCCCAGTGGCCTCCAGCAGACCCCGAGGCCATGGCCAACACAACGATCGCAGCCAAACTCCGTTCAAACTTAGTGCCTGGATCCCTCCTGGGGCACACAGTTTTTCTGGGCCGCTTTTCCATCACGGATCAATGTTTGACCTAGACGTGCCCCTGGAGGCCGACATGGCTTAAACCTCCAACGCGATTTCTTCGATCCTTCTCCGTCCTTCCCCTCCTCCCTCGCTCCTCATCCCTCCTCCTCTCCTGGTCTGTGCAGGCTGGGGCGGGGGCGGGGGGGGGGGCTCGCCACTGTGTCCCGCGCAGGTACTACATACCCAAAATCGGCGAGGTCATGGGTGACCGATTTCTCGTCGTCGAAACCTCCGGGGGCCGCGGTGTCTTCTCGAACGTGGTGAGGGCTAAGGATCAGCAGGCCGAGGGCGAGCAGGCTGGCGCGATCGTGGCCGTCAAGATCCTGAGGGCCAACGACATGATGACGAAGGCCGCGGAGCAGGAGGTCAGCATACTGGAGACGCTCAACGCCGCGGACAAGAGCGACAGGATCTGCGGATGTCTGTGTAGTCGTAATTTGTCAGGGCCTCTGGGGGGGGCACCCTCGCCACCACATATTGATTCCCCATCGGGATCCTGGTCAGAACACGCGCTGGGTGAAGGCCAGGGTCAGATTTCTGATGGGGACAGGCGGCACATCATCCGCCTGTTGTCCACGTTCGCGTATCGCAGGCACTTCTGTCTCGTCTTCGAGGGGATGGAGGACGACCTGAGAGGGGCGGTGAAAAAGCACACGAAGAACAAGGGCATGTCCTTGCCTGCCGTGCGCGCGTACACGAAGCAGCTGATAATTGGCCTGGGCCACATGCACAAACACAAGGCCGTTTTTTGATTCTGCGCCTACGCATGAGGGCCAGGGGAGGGCAGTACACGACCAAGCACACCCTGGCAGCGTGCGGAACATTCTGGTACCGTGATGGTTTTCAGGCCTGGCCGATGCTTGTTTGTTGGTTTGTCTGTCTCTCTGTTTGTTTGCCACTTGGCCTTTTGTGGGGCAGGGCAGGGCTGATGTACAGTAGGCCTGTAAGATTTGTCACTCTTTTCTTTTCCATCCAGAGGGGCCCTGTGGCGAGAACGGGAGGCACGGCGCGGGAGAGACTGGGGGAGCGAGCGGGAGGGAGAGAAGCGGCGGGTGGGGGGATCGGCAGCGGCGCGTCCCGGCAACGCGCGGGATCCGGCGGCTGGCCCAGGCAGCCGCAGTGCTCCCAATAAGTCCAGCGGTCCCGGGCGCTCCAGCAAGCGCCGCCGCACGGCCGCGCGCCAAGCCGCCTCGCGCCCCGCAAAGTATGACACTGACCTGCCAGCAGGTGCCCTGCTGTTTTGTCAATCCCCCGATGGTTCCGGGGCCTGCAGAAGCACTGGGGCACCTCAGGAAGCTCACATCGCGCAGACGCACTTGCCCCTAGAGCTCCATCTGGCAAAGTTTCTGATCGAACATATTTACTTTCCGGGGTAAGGTGATCCACGCAGACATCAAGCCAGACAACATCCTGATCGGGAAGGGGCAGCAGGTCGTCAAGTTCTGCGACCTCGGCACCGCCGTCCAGTTCAAGGACGCTGGGCTAGTCGGATGCCCCTCCTTCTTGTTGCATCTTCGGGGGACCTTGTCTGTTCCAACGCGCCGCTATCCGCGCCGAAACCGTGTCGAATCCATGTCGAACTCGTCGAATCCGCGTCGAATCCACGTCGAATCCGCGTCGAATCCGTGTCAACTCCGCGTCGATTCCGCATCGAATCCGCGTCGGGCTTTTTTCAGGACAGACGAGCCCCCCCCCCCGAAGATGCAACGTGACCGGCTCTCTGACCCCTCGGGCCAGGAGCTGCTTGCACGTGCGCTCATTCTGTATCCGTGACCACTCGCTGTGGTGGGACCCACGCTCGCCCGCCCCCTTTGGGCGGAGGACGCGAGTACCCTCCAGCGGCGTCACAGCAGGGTCCATTCGATCCGATTGATCCGGTTCGATATCGATTTCGGCTAGTCCGATCCAATCCGATTCGATTCCGATACTCGACGATCCGATGTGGCCCGATGCTCGCATGGCGCTGTTGTGCATCCTGGTGCGGTCGTTTTCGGTTCGATTTTGACCGCGTGCAGATGCGGCCAGATCCGACGCAAATTTCGATTCGATTCGAAATCCAGGTTCGATGCCGACAGATCCTGCCCAGGGTCGTCCAGGAGTCTCACAGTCCGAGGCGGGGATTTATTCAGAACCACCGCCTGCGGGATCGATGCTCGGGGACCTCGGCAGGCGTTGGATGTGGATCTTGTCGGGCCCCGGAGGGGCCCGACAATGTCCACAGCCCCAGCGCCTGCCGAGGTCATTTCCACGACCTGCTGAGCCCCCCTTCTGGACTCTTGACGGAGGGCGCAGGAGTCCTCCAGGGGCGCCCCAGAGGCGTCCCAGAGTCTCCCCAGGGGGGGTCTCTCGGGCGGGGCCCGGACTGGGATAACTCGCTCCAGAGCGCCCCAGAATGCCCGATCGTTCCCGAGCGCTCTGGATCGGACGCGGCACCCGACGCCGCGTCCTCCAGAACCGCCGGATCTCAGAGATCCCCAATCTGTCCCAGTCCGATGTTGTCCTGGTCTTGGCTTCGTCTTACATCCCTCCAGCAGTTCCCTGGAGTCCAGGGGCTCCAGCTGGCGCCGTGGCGCCAACTTGCCTGGCCCTCGCTGCCGACCCCTGTGTGGCTGGCACGACCGTCCCGTTCCGTTCCAGGGTAGCTTGTGTCGGGGGAACTAATGGGACAACCATCGGGACAACAATCAGGACAACGGCTCCGATGCCATCTCACCCCGAACTTCCGATACACATACTTATGGTTTGCTACGGCTTCGTATGATTAGTCTGGACTTCTCATGTTGTCCCGTGCAATGCCAGAGTGGTTGCGACAGCGGGCTTCCTGTGCATCCCTGGAGATAATGCCAACGGCCAGTGCTACTAACGTCTTTTTGTCTCGCCCCCTCGCGCCCGAAAGTAACTGACTGTTGGTGCACGTGGCGCTGCTCAGAGGCAGGCTAGCCCGTGCAGGGGTCTGATGATCCCCTGCTCCTCCTATCAGCTCCCGAGATCTCCGACGATGAGACTTTTTCAATCCAGGTGATTTTCCTTAATTTCGCCCTCCAGGGTTCCTTATCGGGCCCCAAAGCGATTCACAACGGATCCAGGACGCGAAGCTACCCCTGGGCTAGGGGTCGCCAGCTCTGAGGCCGCGGGTTGAACAAATCGTATCGGAGGATGTTTGGGTCCTCACCGTTCCTTCATCGCACCTTCGTCGTCGTCCCCTCCCAGACGGAGGACATCAGCGTCTCTCCTTACCTGGCGAGCCGGTTCTACCGTGCCCCCGAGGTGATCCTCGGGTGCACTTACGACGAACAGGTCGACATACGTGCATTGGCTCATTCAGGAGGAGTGAGGCGGATGAGGAGGAGGAGGAGGAGCAGGAGGAGGAGGAGGAGGAGGAGGAGGAGGTGGTATGGAGGAGGAGGATGAACAATAAGAAGGAGACTGTTTGACTGCGTCACCTGGCACATCGCCGAGAGTTCTATCATTCAGGAGCGGCGGTGGGAGCTCCTGCTTGGCGTTTGGTGCTGCATGGCGGTCCCTGCGCAACGCCCGCTGTGGCGAGTCTTATGCCTGC